AATGTCATATACTCTTCCGAATTTCTTAAAAGTTCTCCACATATCTGCATAAGTCCATTCTTCAGGGAAATTTGTAAAGAAATAAGGGATGGCTTGTTTGTAAAGTCCCCAATCATATGAATCCCCCAGCTTCTGTTTTTGAATCTGATTCTGATAAGCATATGCCTTCCGTTGTCCAATTGGTGTGGTTTTCCTGAGATGCTTTCTTCCTGGAAATCTTGCATGCTCTTCGCTCTGTGTTATCCTTCTTCCCGTTATCCAGTGATCGCCTCCTCTCTCTCTCTCTCTACCTCTCTCTCTCATCTCGCTCTCTACTATTCCATTAGGTGAAATCTGAGATATGGGTTAGAGACATTTATATGGTTAATAAAACTCTCGAAACTACTCTAGAATCAATGTTTCAAAATTAGGCCAACAATTTGAACGGTACATTTATATGGAAGACTTTTACATAATGTTAGTGCTCGAGCGATCTAATTATGCTCACAAATTTGTAACGAGTACATCACGCTACTTTGAATGACAAAAAGCATCCATTTGTGGAAGACTTTTCTACAAAATTTGGGAGTCTATATAAGGCAAGCCAAGATGTGGGCATCAGCACGGTTGAGATCCTCCCCCAATTTGATAGTATTATTCATAGATAGCCTTCTCTCTTTCTGTTATCATGGCTAAAGTATCATTTTTAGCCGGCAAACGTGGTTTCATGACTTCAACTATTCTCCTCTTCAGCCTTGTAATGGCTATCCTTAATACTTCAAGTAACTCTCTCGCTTTTTTAATATATCTGTCTTTTTAATTAATGAAAATAATAGACGTATAATGCTTTTTATTTTTATTTTTATAATGGTTCATATAATATAATTATATTTTTTATCGATTATTATTTAGTATATATCTAACTATTTAATTAAGGGAATAATAGTTATCTGTCTTATTTTTTAAAGATTAGAAAAAATATTATTCTAAAATTCATCATTTTAATAAACATTTATTAAAAAAAACTAAAATATTTTATTTTTAAACTATGAATTAGGCTGTTTTTTTATCCATTCCTATAATATTTTATTGAAATAACGTAGTTGTAAAATAATTTTTTTTTAATTTTTTATAAATAAACAAACATTAATCCTTTAATTCAATGTCATATTTTATAAAGTATTCTCATCATAAATATATAGACTATAATAACTTTGTATTTGCACATTTTTATGCAGATGCCCAAATTGGCGTTTGTTATGGCATGAAGGGCAGTGACTTACCATCTCGCCAAGAAGTCATAGATCTCTACAACCAAAACAACATCCAAAGAATGAGACTTTACGCTCCGGATGAGGCTGCTCTCCAAGCCCTCAGAGGCACCAACATCGAGCTGGTGCTCGACATTCCCAATGATGACAATCTTATTCAATCTTTAGCAGCCAGCCAAGCCACCGCCGACAATTGGGTTCAAAACAACGTCAGGAACTACCCAGATGTCAAGTTCCGCTACATCGCTGTAGGAAACGAAGTTAAGCCCACGGATTCTTTTGCACAGTTTCTAGTCCCCGCCATGCAAAACATCCAAAATGCAGTTACCGGACTTGGAATCAAAGTGTCCACGGCTATTGACACTCGGACCCTTGACGGTGCATCTTTTCCTCCGTCAAAGGGATCTTTCAAGGCCGAATATAAGCCTATTCTTGATCCCTTAATCAGTTTCTTGGTGAACAATCAAGCTCCATTGCTCGTTAACTTGTACCCTTACTTTAGTTATGCTGGCGACACTAACATTCGTCTTGATTACGCTCTCTTCACGGCTCCCTCAC